GGTGGAAGGTACCGTCAAGCTCGGAAATGCTGGGACGTCACTTTGACTAGCGGATCTTCTTATGATGTTAACTTCTAGATTACATTGATTCAGACACACCTAGGCTTAAAAATAAAAAAAAAATTGTTTTTAAATAAAATATAAAAAGTAGTTTTTGAGTCATTTTCAAATATTATGGGGTGGGGAGGGGGAGGGGGGCGGGGTGCTGATAAGGTGTGTACTTTTTGGAGGGGTGTATGTGAATACTGGTGTGAATTTTCAATTTCTTCTTTTCGCAAGTATCTTTAGGGTTTTGAACGGAGTTTAACAATCCCAACATGCCAGTGTTCAAAGTCAGCTGAGGGCGATAGGTAGCTAACTACTTGCCATTAATCTTTTTACAACGGTATGTGCGTCCTATCGTTCAGAAAGCAAATCAGCTCAGTTTAGAAATGTCCAGCAAAACCAACAATAGCCAATAAATGCATTTGTTTTCATTGTGCCGTCTGCGCAATGAAAGTTGGTGGATTCCCAATGTTTTACCCCAGGTTTGCGTCACGGAACAGTCCAATAACTTCTTGGGTGGTAAGAGTGGGTTTCCCGACTTTTTGATGCCTTTAAATACCCTAAAACATCTAGAACTGAGCCTAACCCCAACCCACCTACGTCCCACAAGAGAGTGCATCCTAGGTCCCACGACTGCATGCAGCCTAGGTCCTACGACTGCATGCAGCCTATCTACCACCCCCTAAAATAGTCGACTGTCTGTTTGGGGAGAGCTATTGGGACAGAACCTAGAAGTTGCCTGAAATGTATCCATTGCTAACTATTTAAATTGTATATGGTGAAGCCCCAAATCTCTTCCACAGTGTGACTCTCTTACCATTAATCTCCACGAAAAATGTCTTTGGACTCCCAGATCTTCTTCTTCTTTTTCTTCTTCTTTTTCTTCTTCTTTTTCTTCTTCTTTTTCTTCTTCTTTTTCTTCTTCTTCTTGTTCTTCTTCTTGTGCTTGTTCTTGTGTCGCCTCACTGAGAACCGGTGTCGTGGGTTTTTTTTTTGAATTTGTCTTGCGCTTCTCGGGTGGCTTGGGTGATGCTTGTTTCGATGTACCCTATGTTTCTCCTTCTCGTGACCAAAAAGTGCAGACTGTCTCCTTCTTCTTCTTCTTCTTCTTCTTCGCGTTCACCAGCTGTACATACACTCTGGCGGAAAGTTCTGGTTGATCGTCCACTACTGAACTGCAGTCCCGCTCCAGAACCTGAGTGTTGCGTGTGCATTTCAGTTTTTACAGATCTCATTCTGATACAGACTGTTTGGTTCGCCTCTCCGGCAGATGCACTCCGACTTCAAAGGAAGCTCCCCAATTAGTCGACTCTTACGACATGCTTTTGGGGAGGCAGTGGGTCTATTCTTGTTTTCCCCACAATGGGGCCCCGGAACCCACACAGGGGTGTCTCCTTCTGATGCGGGCAATCAGTTCTTTTCCGTCAGTCAGTTTCTTCCAAGACATCCTCGTTACTCTTGTTATCTATTTAGGACAGCTTCATCATTCGTCTATAAAACCACATCTCCGTAGCTTCCATAAAAATTTTCACTAATCTACCAACTGTCCATGATTCAATTCAATATACCAAAAAATGATTTTTATAACTTTTAAAACTGTTCTTTCTCTTCTCAATGGACTAGGAAAGATTGCATAAAATATTTTCAAAACTAGTCTCTAATTAATAATCGCTTTCAGTTTGTCATATTCGGGTTAATCAATTTGTAATCCATCATGGGCTTTTGTGCTTCAAGACGGCTTCTCCTAACTTTCACTTTCATCGGATTATTTGAGATAATGCGGTAATTATCAGGAATCGATGCGTTATGTTTGAGAATCAATACGTCGCGATATGTAGAAATTATTGCGCGCTTGCCGCACTTTGTACAACAATGAGCGGTCAAAAACTTTGATGTTAACTCAATTAGTGCCAGACAACCCACCACGATCGACTTCATTGATTTAAGCTAGTATGATACGCGTTTCTTAACTTTGACCAGAGTCTTTTTGAACGGAGTACTAAAACACACAGGCACACACACACACACACACACACACACACACACACACACACACACACACACACACACACACACACAAGCTGTCGCTGGAAAGCTCAACTACAAGACAAAAGAGCGTATAAACATAAAAGGATAATATGAAACCATAAATATGTAAAAGAATAAAATATGCATAAGAGTGGCTAAATTTTGAAACTTTCTAAATAAGAAGGTATCTGAACACTAGGGAGAAATATGAAAAAACTTCAGCTGAAGCAGAATTCTCAAAGGTGAACAGAATATTGATCGCTGCCAGATCGAGAACGCCTTAAATGTGAAGGAAGAGGCGGAGGATTTCATCCCCCGAGCAAGATTTTATGGCAGTACCTGAGATGTAGTCGGTGTCAGTTGGCTTAGGCGATGGGAACGCGCTTTGTAATGCAGGGGTGCCGGTTTCGATCCCAGCTGAAGGCCTTGCCCCTTGCGTTGGTTTCGACAGTGGTATTGAGAAGCCGACCCTCCAGAAAGCAACGGCAAACTACTGTACGTATTTTTACCTAGAAAAACTACCCAAAAAAAAAAGTGCTGGTGTTGGTTCTGAACCTAACTTTTAAAAAAACCTGATATGTTAATTTTGCCTTGGTGGCCAAAGCTGTTAAAACAGAGGGAGACAGATAATGCAAGTTCCTTTGTGTTTACGTTAATAAATTCAGTTGGTCCGATATGGAATATGGAAACAATGAACAGGCAACCAGAAAAGCGAACTTTTTCTAAAAATGTAGATGTGCAGAAGAATAGGTCGTATTTTATAGAAACAAAAATCAATCAAGTACAGAGGCTCAGAGGGAGACTGCGAACGAAAAGAGAATTATTTATAGCACCCCCCCCCCTCTTCCCCCCCCCCCCTCTCCCCTCCCCCCCTCAACCCCCCCCCCCAATATATTTAAGTAACTTTAAAAGACATAATACGTTTTTTTTTTTAAACTTGCTGCTGGAAAAAAACTTTTAATCATTTTGTTGTCTAGTGTGTCCTTCTGTCTTTCTACTTCTTTATATGGGTACCGATCTGTTCATTGTCTATTTGTTTATTTTATATATATATATATATACATACAATATTTATACTACCTCAAGATTCCCCTCTTTGTTTATTTTCCCTGACGTTACCGGTGTCAGCCGTGAACTATTTTGCAGTCGTTAAGGAAGAAAATGTCCGCGTCTGTGGCTTAGGCGTTGCGAGCGAGCTTAGTAATGCCGGGGTGCCTGGTTCGACCCCAGCTGCGGGCCTTGTGTCTTGCATTGGTGTCTACAGTGGTACCGAGCAGCTGCGCGGTCCAAAAAGCAATGGCAAACTACTGGACGTAAATATGCACTCCGAAGACAAAAGGAATAAATACACGTCGCAGTGGATTTGTGTGTGTGTGTGTTCTTTATTCTTTCAAAAAACATTGTCTCCCAGGCTGATCGGCCTAACAGGGGTACCAGGTAGTGTCCGGGGAAGTCAAGGCAGCCTGCAGGATGCTGACTACATCAACCCTCAATGATCGATTGGTCTATAAAATGTGAACCTACCGTCATATACTCAAAGCGCCAGAAGACATAAATATTGAACATTGAATTAAGAATCGAAATCACAGCACTTGGGACACTTCCATAAGTGCTCAGTCCCCATCTTCAGCAGCAAGCGAAGAATGACATAAACAAAAAGACATAAACAGGGTGCTTTAGTTTATTTAAAAAATATTACTTCACTCACTTTAATATTACATTATTCAGGAGAAGAGCTAAAACCTACACATCTCTCGAATGATTAAACACTGTAACAGTAGTTAAACACTGTAACAGTAGTTAAACACTACAACGGTGACAAGTTGAACAGGTCAACGCTAATCTTGAGCACATTCAAGTGTCATCCTCCTTCGGCACGATCCGAACACTGGAAAGAGAAACAAATATATCTCGTCGCTGTTCAAGAGAAACAGCCGATCACTAGAGTGTCTCTAGAGTTTCAATGATATATCGCCCTGCTGGAGCCACTCAGATTCCACCGGGTGTACTACGTACAGCGCAATAAATCCTTTATTTCAGCGGTTCTCAGAATGCCCGTGTGCTCTGTAAAAGCTGGCTGATTGATAGGCTGTTGCCGCTCCTCCAGGTAATGAGCTACGTTATGACAAAGCAGAAGTGATGAAGGCTGTCTGGGATAAAGTGGGTAGTGCAACAGAACAAAATGACAGAAAAAGGGGGGAGGGGGAGTGAGTAGAGATTCTTGGTGCAATTCAGCACTGACGGAAAAATAACGTTTAATGAGGTTGCGACTGGTACTATTAGCATATCGACTCTTGGTTGGCTACTGAGGAAGGAGACAGAGCTCGTGTGGACATGTCCTGAGTGTAGAGATGTAAATTAATCCATCAATTCATTCAGAGCTTTTCAGAATGAGGAAGGCTATCTTGACTAATCTGTACCCTCACTGCATTCCGCACTGTTCTACTTAGAACATCTTCGGAAGTTGATATGGTGATCTGCCCTTGCCTGGTTGGTCGTCTACCATCAAGAGACTGTATTCTCACTTTGTCAAGGCGTTCAGGTCCTGTCTATCTGCCACCAGCAATAGACTGTATTCTCACAGTGTCAAACCGTTCAGGTCCTGTCTATCTGCCACCAGCAAGAGACTGTATTCTCACGGTGTCAAACCGCTCAGGTCCTGTTTTTCTGCCACCAGCAATAGACTGTATTCTCACGGTGTCAAACCGTTCAGGTCCTGTTGATCTGCCACCAGCAAGAGACTGTATTCTCACAGTTTCCAACCGTTCAGGTCCTGTCTATCTGCCACCAGCAAGAGACTGTATTCTCACGGTGTCAGACCGTTTACGTCCTGTCTATCTGCCACCAGCAAGAGAATGTATTCTCACAGTGTCAAACCGTTCAGATCCTGTTGATCTGCTGCCCAGAATGAGATCTTCTGATCTAAG